TACTAAGGAGAGACAAAAGATTTTCCACTGAAGGCTCTGCTACAAACTTCAGACCGTCAGGCAGACAGGTAAAAACAAGATTCCAACCCAGATGTCCTAGGTGAGTAATGAAAAATTCAAGGAAGAAAAATAAAAGCAAAGTGATGGCTCCGTTTTTCCTTTTTAGCTTCAGAATTGTCCAGAAGGAAAACAGCTGCTGACAAACTTCTCTTCCAACTGGGTTTCACATACCAGAAACATGGGGCATATAACTGTTTTCAAAGTCCCCCCTGGACAAAATTTCCATACACACTGGAGAGCATTCAGACTGGTGGACCTAAACTCATTTAGGCGCATAGGTAAGATTCCTGAAGTTAAGGGAGCTTGCTTGTATCAGAAAGCAGGAGTTAACTTTCCATTTTTGTCCTGCAATGTCAGTCAGTAAAATTTAAATTCAGTTTTGCAGTGGACCCAAAACCAATCGGTGTCTTTATTGCAACATACCGTCTGAGCAGCATGTCAAATAAAACACACAGCAGTTTTAATATAAAACTTAACTGAAAAAAGATAGAAAATGGAACATTCATAATACAAGGTCCACCAATTTACCAAGTGGCACTGAAGACTATCCACTGGAAAAGACATAATTTGATTTTAATTATATTGCATGACTCCAGAAATCCCAAAGATATCAGTGCAGTACCTTTTCACTTACAGCACGTTACCAGAATGTGAAGCTAGCTGATTTGGCTCTTCTTCAGATTTCCTTAAAAGAAGGTGACTTGTTTAATAAGCAGAACTGTTATCACCCAACAGCATAGAGTATTCCAGTTGCAGATTCTAACTTTCAGGCAAGGTTTGTTAATTTTCTTCTGCTTAAACGATTAAAATCTTAGTTTGAAGAAGAGCAGCCGCAACATATTCCCTAAGTTGTTTCATACTCACTAGATGCTAAAACATATGGATTGTCATTGGCCTCCAGAGTATATTGCATTTTAAGTAGCACCCTGTTTAACTGTTCATCTTCTACAGAGACCTTGAACTCCCCACAGCACATGCCACTCAGCCCTCTTCCTTTTCTTTCAGCTCACAAGAACCTGAACTAAAGCAGCTGCCACTTCAAAGACTGATAATGCAATAGACACAATGATTACTGTATTATTTGTATTATTGACTGGAATAAAATAAATTGCTTTCACAGAACATGGACAGTCTAATAAAATTCATGTAAAATACAGGAGGAGCACTTTCCATTTGTGTTGCGCAAAGAAATCAATCTTGAACTTTATTTGTATAATACACAAAACAAGCGTAAACTTTTCTTTCATTTCATCTTCTATCCAAGTGTATAAAACAATGAATGGTGGGTGAAAAAACATCTAACATTTTCTCATTGCCAACAGTGGTGGGAAATTTTGAATGTTCCTACATAAAAACTAATGCAAAGTGATTTGAAGCAATTATATCAATGTGACTATAGAGTTTGGAAAGAGATTTAAGGCAAGCATCTTGTCAAAGTGAAGCTTGAGCATGCACATTCTAAACCATATCAAATTTTAAACCATGGCTGGATTCCTTTGTAGAATATTGTTTAAGTAGGTTCATCAATGCATGCAATACAGAACCTTTCTGTAGAAGAGAGATAAATAATCTCATCAAGGTGGGTTGGGTGGTTTGGATGGAAGTTTTATACCTGTACCTCAGCATATTTAGACATTGTGTTTTGCCTGGATGTAAGCTCCATCCCCTTGAGTAAAACTTCATAAAAATAAAATCATACTTAAATTCATACTGCCCTCTTTTTTTAAATCAAGTTTAATTCTGAAGATCTCCTAATGCTCTGAAACAAGTTAAGCCTAACATAAGCTATATAAGTAGCATTAACCTAATTTTACATATCCCTCCACCCCAATTTTAGATACTGAAGTCAGAGCAGGTCATTTAAGCATCTCGGAAAAAGTTACCTCAATGTAGTCTTACACCTCATTTTACAGTAAGAAAATTAAGCTTTGAGATCCACATTTACATGCTGAAGTACATAAGGATATTAACCTCTCAAATGGGATTTCAGTAAAACCTTAACAGTTTTCCCACACAGTGGCATGTCACCAACACCAAGTATTCTTCATCTTATGGCTTCAGATGAGGTAGGTATTGAATCTGGCCCACTCAGCCTGGATGCTCTAACTACAGGTTTTATGGTACAAAAGCATGGCACAGGCAGCAGACACCTCCTACTGCTAATGCATTTGAGTAAGTTATCTCTTTAAATGAGTGACTAAATCTAGGGAGGTATTCCTAGCTGTGATTACTAGCTAACACATGCTTCCCCACAGACAGGAAGTGCATGCTTACAATTCTATGAAAAGGAGAATATTCAATTTTGTATTCATTAAATGTTGAATTTGCTACGCTAACCATAGGCTCTGATTCTTTTCCAGAAGCTACTCTTCCACAAACTGCAAAGTTAAGAGCCACAATGCTTCAATTTCTTTATGAAGCTGTCCTAGAGGATTTATTCAAAAATGAGTAAATGACAAGACCAGATTTAAAAAAAAAACAAAACCAAACAAAACCAAAACAAAAAACCCCCAAACCTGCAACAAAAACCAAAACCAAACAAGAAAAAACCCCACAACCACCAAACTGAGCTAAGGTCCCAGCATCACCAATACCCTCTCCTTGGCTGGAATACAGGAAGTCCAAGTGTTGAGCTAATCAGATGACGGTAACTTAAGACTTATAAATGCATCACTTATAAACATCACTTCTGCCAAACACTTGCATGAACGCAGATGTTTTGACAAATCTCAGCTGAAGGTTCTTTATGCACAACTAGAACACAGTGCTAAATTCACCACTTGGTAGCACAAGCACAAAATGGGATTTACTCCTCTGAAGTGAGAATCTGTTCCAAAGCATCACAATGAACATTTCTACATGCTTTTAAAAGCAGAACGTACTTTATCATCCCTCTTCCTCCATTATTCTGACTTTGGTTTTACTCAAGTACCACAAATGAACATGTGCAAACATCAATAGTTTAGAAGCAAATAAACTGCACCACCAGAGCAAATATAATCATTCTTTGTTGAACTATGCAGTATAAGAATATACAGAAAGAAAAAGACATAAAACATTGAGATTAGTAATAAAACAATTGCAAAGTCTAAGTTGGATTTGTTACAAGAAATTACTTCTTTTATACATTAGTTGGCAAGATGTTTTAGAAACAACAGGATCACATCATTGTACACTTTTCTGGCCATAAGGTGCTAAATACAGCTGCTACCCATGTGTATTAGAACAGGTATAAAATAATCTTTTAATAAGCTTCTTTTTAACATGTATTTTCCTTCAGGTTTTGTTAAAAAGTGGTGAGCTAGCACTTAAAAACCATAATACAATGATCTTTCACCAACAGACCAAACATTTGAATGATATACAGACAAGAAGTTTTTTGTAGTATTGTCTAAGTACACAACTCTTAACCAAAGAGAAGCTTTGTCTTATAACCAGGCTACTTTATTATTCCTCACCTTAAAAATATGCACATCTATTATCAGAAAGAGCAGAATGACCTTTTGTCATAGCGTAACTATGTAAGTTTAGCCTTGCTTGCTTAAAGGAAGGAGTTAGTTTTGCTCCTGTATGTATTGTAATTCCTACTACTGTCAACGGAGGTTGTAGCGTTGTGGGTAAATGCTCAGCTTTGCTCAGTTTCAAAGTTTCAGCGCATTATTCAAAAATCCCACAGAATACAAGCAAGTGAGGTGAAGATTATAAAGAGCAGTAAGACTAAATCAGAGTTGTATTTAAGGCCCAGTACAGTATACAGCACGTAAGGAAAAAAAAGCCATAGACTTTTCATCCTAACTCTTTGCCACAAGTCACTTAACTTAGACGTAATGTGCTAAATAATACTGCACCAGTGACGCATTGTGTTGGGGAGACACGTGCTTCTTCTGCAGCATTTGGAAGATGAAGCATCTCTACAGCTCTACTGAGACCTACCTTAAGTGAAGGGTTACAAATCACTCTCACACATTTACACTTCCACTGTTAATAAGCTGGGGAAAAAAATCCAGAATAAAGCTAAGAAACTTGATAAATTGGGCTTTCTAACAAACACGTTTCAACAGCAGCACAGGGAAGGGCACAAGCCGTAAATAGTACTTACGCTGGGGACCTCAGGGCATCAGAACACTACAGAGGGTATTGCAAATTGGTGTCGATACGTCTGTTCTCTGCATGAGGGCAAAAAGGCTGATCCCAAAAGAGACAAAGTGTAACGTACGCAGGGCATTAACATTGACTTTGGAAGGCTGAAGTGAAGAAAACAAAGTTCTCTTTTACTCTCTCTGCAGTCAGCAGCATTATCCATGAAAAAAGGACACTGCTACATGACCCTTCGTACTAAACGTAAAACAAAAATCAGCTTGTAAGGAAGAGCATTGTTTATTTTTTGTTAATTTTGATTTCTATCTCAAATGACCCATAAAATACTAACTGTAAGACACTCCCCACACAAACAAGAGATCAGAGACTACTTCATGCTCCATCCTGAGAGTCTGTAGTCCCAGTTCCAACTCTTCTGTAGAGTGAATTACTATTTAAAAGACAAATCATATAAGTTTTACCAGCAATTGTTTTCACCACATTTCACAAGAAAATGAAGTGGTCCCATCTGATTGCTACAATCCAATAATCAGATTAAAACAAAATAATCTTAAACTGAACATGTAAATACCCAAAGAGGTATTAAAAGTATTGTCTGAAAATACAACATACAGAATTCTATTTTGGCTGTCTACAGATTATAATCAGATACGTATAAATGGGCAAGTAATTAGAGAAGTCAGTTGGTAGCATATGCTAATCTCTGTTGACAAAAGAGGCAAATACATTAGCTACAGCCAATAGGATATATTTCAAAATAAGCATGCTGCATTTTATCAGTGACTCAGTGTCTCAGGCATCTAAGCGTCAAACCTGCGTGTGTATGATTTTACACAGTAATTTAGTTACGCATTTAGAATGGGCACAAACCCAAACCAGTGAAGTCAACGGACTTTGGATCAGGCTTCCACTTTGAAAGACCCATTATGTTTATTTAGCTAGTACTTTTAAACTCTCACTTCACCTGTAAGTATGCCACAGATTTATATGCAATTAAATGACTCAGTTATTTATAAAGTCATAGAAGAAAGCTGTGTTCTCAGTCACCTGAGAAGAATAACTATAGCATTTACATTATATTGACTGTTTAATTAGAAACTTTCAGTTACTTATTTACTGAAGACACATTTTTCACCTGGTTTTTTTGTTCTGTTATTTCTTGGGTGGGAGTTAAGGGCAGAGAATCACATACAGGAGCATAGTTACTATGAATTTACTGTGCAGAGTAAATATACTAGCATTAATAATATGGAAATGGGCAAGTTTTGCAATAAGTAGTGAAAGAACAGTTTTTGGGTGTATACTTAAAAAACAAGTATATTCTTATTTTTAAGAATAGACAGCTAGCAGAATCTGCATATATAATGACTTCAGAAACTCAATTTGACATTGGTGTTCACATATTAATGTGCAAAAGAAAATATATGCACTTATAAATGTATCTTAATTTTACTACACATTTTTTGTAGAAAGTAGAAAATTATGATTAGAATATGCACATTTTCTTAACTCCAAGTTTAAAAGTGGGATTCACTTTTTGGTGCACAATCAACTTGCAACAATGAGTTATTCCCGTTATTAGAAAAAAAATAAATTCTGCAAATTTTTATTTATTTTGGCTGGAATCCAAGAACAGAGAATACCAATAAGGGGGTTAGTCTTCAAATATTAGAAGACTGCTTCAGGAAAGGAAAAGAGCAATCCTTCCTCCAGATTCATGACAGGGAAGATGGGATGCAACCCGTTTCAGTTATGCCAAGAATTAATGGTGGCAGACATCAGGAAAAAATTCCTAGTCTTTTCCCACTGGGAAAGACATCCTGTGTAAGTTACAAAATCTCTCTCAGTGCAAGTTTTTTTTTTTTTTTCTTCTAAAAAACCCCAAGTAAAACAAGTCTGTCAAGAGGACACAAGACTGTTGATTCTGCTTTAGGACAAGAATACACGATCTCTTAATGTCCCTAGCAGCCCCGCTTTTCTATGACTGAAAAATATCCCCTGTAACCACTTATTTTGAGTGAAACAGACCTGCAGAGACATTTACCTGTAGCACTGCTTAGTTTCATCTGACAGTGTAAAAATATTGCACTTCAGACAGGCTCATTTTGTTCCCAAAATGAAATTAAGTCGAAGATGATGATTTTTTTTTTCCTCTGGAACACAGATTTCAGAATATGGTATGCCAAATGTGGGCAAGGTTAGCTGAAGACATTGCATTTTTGTTCCAGAGGTAAAAAGGTCTCAAGTGTACCGCAGAAAATCAAACCTCAAAAAAAATGCAGAAGTTATCACCAGTTCCACTGCATAACCAGCATCTGTTTTCATATAAAAAAATAAAGTGTTTGCATTAAACTTTATTGCACCATCAACTTTTTCTAAAATATCCCCCATTCAAGTCAAATATTAAATCATTTTTATCAAACAAAATATAAGGTCTTCTTTAAAGTATCAAGTAGATATAGCATACGTACTATACAGAAAAAGAACAGTCTAAAGGAATGACATACATCAAATCAGAGATGACAGAAAACAACCATTAGGTTTTTTTCTTTTTCATGATTAAAAAAAGATTGCAAAAAGATTGTGTAGGCTATTATATGCATTGTATGTGTGAAAAGCATCCCTCCTCATTCAAGGTGTTGAAGCAGGTGACACCTTCAAGCTGTCAAGTGCTGCATGAATCCTGAAGTGCAACCTGGACTCCATAGAGTAGTCTTTGTAGTTGTTTCTGAAAAAAAAAAAAAGTTATTGTAAGAAAAACATTTTTGGCCTGGATTGCTTCTACTTCATACATGCACTGAAGTACCAAAGCTAACAGCCTTCATTCCTTCAACAGAAGGATACACAGATGAGCTATGAGACATTTCAAACTACATCCACGAACTGAGCAGCGACTTACACCACTACCAACAATTAAATGTCCTGATAAACTGAATCCATGTTTTAGCACTATTTTTATCCTTTCAACAGCCCTCCCAACTACTGAAGTTTGCTGTGAAAAGACATGCTAGAAGACTACAGAAAAGAAAGGCTGTTACCTGAAAGTGTATGTTCAGCTTCAAAACACAACTCAGCCAGAGTAATAAAACACAAGGAAATCGCATTATGTAATAAAAAAAGGCAAAAAATACTGTGTTTCTAAAAAAGGTTTTAGGAGATTGTTTCTAACTCACATTTACAACACCATTACATGATTGGTATACCTCTCTGTACACAGAGGGGGCAAACTCTGGCCCATGCTACTACCTACAGATAAAGCAAACATGCTTCTCTACAGTAAATTTATCTCTCTGCAGCTCTTCTGTGACAGGATGTGAAAGGAAGAAGGGATGTGGTCAGAAGTGTACTGGCTTTTTACCCTACTCCCCACTAACACCTTTATTGCGGCAGACGTAAGCCCCCCCAGCTGCTCTCTAGGACAGAGGTGGTGCAGATCCTTTCTCTGGACTCTCCAGCTCCAACCCATGCATGCAGTGGAGCCTCAGCATCTCTGAAGCCTAAATGAGGAGGAGGCATTTACCCTTCATACTGTGTGTTGCTAAAGTTACTCAGTTATTCTTAATCTACAGGATGATACAAATAAAAAAAATCCACTTACTTTGCAGTTTCTATGTATCTTACTGCTTTTTCTCTCTCATCCTGTTGTTTGTACAGAAGACCCAACTCATACAGGGCGAACGGCACCAAATAACTATCGTATTTTATTTGCTTCTCACTAGAAAACCAGAAAAATACAGAAGTGGCTCATTACAACCTTTCCTCAAGTGACCAGTTAACTTTTAAATGCAATCGTGGCCTGTAAAAGCACATTGGAATCTTTTTTGCTGGTTAAGTCTGTGCACGTTAATTATACCTGTAAAGAGTGGATGTAAAATACTGCCAACATGACCTTCTAGGAGCAAAAATTTATTATTTCCTACTTCCTTTTTGTATTGTGGTGTATTACCCAGGCTACCATGAACACAGTTGCAAGACTGGGACCCTATTGTGTGACTTACAGTTCAAAAAAACCCCCAACTATCCAAAAAGATAATCTGAGATAAAAATGACGTTCATTAGGTTAGGTATAATATAAATAGTTTTTTCCCACACAGAGAATTGAGATTCCCTTACCCTACCTTGCCTGAACAAATCAGCAGAGAAGTAAGAAAATTCAACTTTTCTCAATGTAAGAAATTCTCAGAATCTCTGTGGCTGGAAGGCACCTCTGGAGATCATCTAGTCCAACTCCCTGCTCAAAGCAAGGTCTACGGCAGCAATCTGTCCAGGACTCTGTCCACCTAGATTTCAAGTACCTCCAAGGACGGAGACTCCACAGTCTCTCTGGACAACATGTGCCAGTGGTTAACCAACTCGACAATAAAAAAAACCAAACCACCAAACCAACAAATGTGTCTATTTTAAAACTGTTCCCTGTATTTCAGTTTGTGCCCATTACAGCTCGTTCTGTCACTGGGCACCACTGAGAAGAGTTTGTGTGTATGTCTTTTTTGTTTTTTTAAAACACACTTCCTTCAGATAACATTTCAGGTGTTCTATTCCCCAGGCTGAATGCTCCCCACTCTCTCAGCTTCTTATATGACAGATGCTTCAACCATTTAATCACCTCTGTGGCCCTTTGTTAGACTTGTTCCAGTGTATCCGTGTCTCTCACACCAGTGGCTCCAGGACTAGATACAGTACTCCAGATGTGGTCTCATTAGTGCTGAGAGGGGAGGAAGGGTCAACACTCTCGACCTCCTGACAACACTCTTCCTAATGCAACTCAGGACACAGTTGGCCACCTCTGTTGCAAAGGCACATTGCTGGCTCACGGTCAGCTTGGGGGTGACCAGGATCCCCAGGGCGTTTTCTGACAAGCTGCTCTCCAGCCAGTCAGCCCCCAGCCTGTGTTGGTGCATGGGGTTATTCTTCCCCAAGGGTAGGGATTGGCCCTTCCCTTTGTTGAACTTCATGAGGTAGCTGTCAGCCCATTTCTCCAGCCTGTCCAGGTTGCTCTGAATGGCAGCACACCCATCTGGCCTATCAACCACTCCTCCCACTTTGTATCATCTGCACATTTGCTGAGGCTGCATTCTGTCCCATCATCTAGGTCCTTAATGAAGATGTTAAAACCTACTGGTCCCAGCATTGAATTCTGCATTATTCTGCTGGTGACTAGCCTCCAGCTGACTTCATGCTGCTGATCACAGCCTTCTGAACCCAGCAGTTCAGCTGGTTTTCAGTCCACCTCACTACCCACTTACCTAGTTGAGACTGTTTGACAGCTTGTCTGTGATGATATTGTGGGGGACACGGTCAAAAACCTTTCTAAACTCAAGATAAAGAACATCCACTGCTGTCCCCTCACCTACTGAGCCAGTCATCTCATTGTAGAAGACTATAAGGATGGTTACACATGCTTTGCCCTTCATAAATCCATGCCGACTCCTCCTGATCACCTTCATGCTTTTGGAAATGATTTCCAGAATTATTTACTTCCCCTTCCTAGGGACTGATGAGAAGCTCACTGGCTTGCAGTTTCCCAGATCCTCCTTTGTGCCCTTCTTGAAGATAGGAGCAACATTTGCTTTCTTCTGGTCCTCAAGGAACTTCCCCTAATTGCCATGACCTTTCAAAGATAATGGAGTCACAATGACATTGGCCAGCTCCCTCAGCCCTCATAATCCTTGACTAAACTCACCTGGGACCTTAGAAATGGCAAGAGAAGGCGAGACAGCAAGAAAATTATAACAAGCAATAGAATTACAGGTAACAAATTCTCCTTAAATATTGTTTTTTCTATATTATGTATTAGAAAATTGCATGTGTAAGCCCCATTTTTTTCAGCCTAATTACTCTAAAATTCTAAGAAGTTTACAACTACAATCAGGATGACTCAAAGTTATATAAAGTTATTGCAGTAGATATGGATCTGCACCTAAAGTATTTGATAAATCCATAACACAAGAAACTCAAGTTTTCAACTGAAAACTAGTAACAACAGCAATTTCTCATCTACATAGAGAAGCATTCATTTCTGAAGTACTAAATCCTGAAAAAAACCCCTAGGAAATCCATTTGAATTATTTTTATTTATCTTGATAGCTCTTCAAATACAAAAATACAAATTCTGAATGTATTTAGATAAATGCGTTATCCATCAGTTTGATTTATTTGGTATAAAACACCACATTTCCACGAAGCTATATAATCTTAAACTGCTATAGAAACATACTAGCAAAGTTTTGTGGTCCTCCAACTACTTTCAGAGGTATTTTAATTCCAGCTCCTTAACAGGATGGTGAAATCTAATACTCAAAATTCTAACATGATGGCTTCTACAGGAATTTCAGAAGCTTAACCTTTCTATTTTGTAGCTTTGGGTGAAAAGTCTGTTTGTTATTTTTACCTCTGAGTTACTTTACTGAAACACAGTTCAGCTTGCATGAGTCTTCCCAGGTGTTTCAGGCACAGGCCCTTCAGCAACTGCAACATGCACACATCATCCATATAGTACTCACTGCGATCTAAAAGTAAAAGTGAGATACATCAAACAATTTGAAGACGTCATGAAAAGGAAAGTTAGATTTTCAGTAGGGAATATGCATTCAGACTCAGGACATGGCTTCTCAGATTTTTACACCTCAAAACATACATAACCTTAATTTTAAATACTGTCTACTGATGAAGATGTGCATGTAACGTCTTCATCTTTCTCTTTAAAGATACAGGCTAATAAGAAATAAGGAGAAACTGAAACCTCCAGATAATCCCCAGTCGTCTTATTCTGGAAGTCAGTTCAAAGCAGGCATAAACTGGTATCAGTTACAGATTTCTGTACTTGCATCATCTCAAACAGGAAGCAAAACCTACGGTGAGACTGAAAACACCTTTGCACTACATTATCTTAATAACTTGCCCTGTTGCAGAGCACTGGCAGACCTCCAGTAGCACCAATAATGTGAAAAGCACAAGAACACACCAGGACTCTGTCCTGCAGAACTTTTTGGAAGCATTACTTGGCAATACAAATTCAAGAAACCATGTTTATTAGTATTCCCACCACCTCTTAAGGATTAAGAAGCTTCACTGGTAGCGTAAAACATTTGGAAAATTCAAGGAAGTTTTACGTTCAATAGGACTAAAAATACCAGATGAAAGAGCTTTTGTGAAGCAATTAAGAAATATAACCTTAACCTGGTCCTTTCTCGTTGCCTTGGTTTATACCATTTGCTGCATGCAGGGAAGGAAAAGGAAGAAAACACATATGGATAGACAGATGGCGGCACATACATTAACAATTCAGGAAGCAAAACACTCTCCCTTCAGATCATGTTGTTTACAACTGATTATCAGCTCTCTAAGGTCACGTTAATTTTTTTCTTAACAGTCTGCCAGAAAAATCCTACGTAAACAGTTCTGAAACATGCAAGACTAAAGCATCTTAGGATTCAGTGAAGTGCTTTGCCACTACACTTGGGCTTATTTCTGTCTGTGTTCGAAGCCAGGAGTCTCGGTAGACGGTAACTGACAGACTGCGCTTTTAGCGACAGGTAGAAGCGCAGTGGGCGAGCATGTTGCATTCCCACAATCCTGTTTTGCTAGGCTGAGGCTAGTGGATTTGTGTGGCTGTCTCCTAAAGGACTCATTCACTGAAATTACTGGGGGCAAGCACTGATGTCAGTAAAAGCTTGCCAGTCTTCAACAACTTCAACTAGTACCTCCCTGGTGTTTCCCACAGGAAGAAAAGCCATTGTTGCAAAACACTGACTGTAAATGACAGTAAATGCACAGGCCAATTAAATGCAGACAACTTTGCAATAAATGCGGGAGAACCAACTACCTGCAATCCTCTGTATCAGAGGAAATATCATCAGGATTATAAAATACACAAGAAATTGTTTTTTCTTGAAGCTTGGCTTTTTATCTTGGAGGTGACAGAACTGTGGTAAAATAAGATTTCTAGAAATCCTGAGGAAAAAAATAATAATTTCTAATGTCTATTCATCTGTATTTTCAGCTCTGTACAACATAAGCCCACTTTCAATCCTTGACAGATTCCTTGCTGTGCCTCTTCACTTGAAGTGAATGAAGTATCAACAACTCTAAGAAGTCTCAATCCCTAAATGACATCTGTGTATAATTAACGCACTTTTTTACAGCACCTTAGCAGTCCTTTAAAGCTATCTAGTACTGACAGCTGTCTCTTAAAATAATATTGTATCCTTGACACACTCTGCTAATAGCCTTAATCACTTTCTTTGGGTCTCAATTCAGCAGCAATTCTGGTGATCACAGTCTTTATCTTTTCTGAGTCCATATCTTAAAAAGCAAATCAGGCTCATAGATGCAAAGTCCCCAATAAAACTACATTTGACTGCAGTTATTACTAAACAGAGAGCAAAAAACCCAAATACGCTTCCAGAATACATCCTATTTGTAAACTACATATTTCCATAAGAAAAAAATGCTGGTTTTATTTCCGCTCCTTTTATTTTGGTACCTTCTGCATCTCTGCTTAGGAATTTGACAGGAAATTTACTTCACTATTACAACTGATAAGTAATTATAGTATAAGCCTCTGCATGATAGAGCACCGAATTCCCAATATCCTCTGTCAGAATACTCTGCACAGAACTCATGGAAACATTTATTTTCAGATGTCTTGCATATTGCTACATTTTGGTCTTAGTATGACAACAACAACAAAGAAAAAAAAAAAGGAAAAAACATTTGAGATTTAAGAGGCACACTACTGATTCTGCAGAAATTTGAAGAATAGCATAAAAAAAATTAAGGGACCCAATTCAGTCTCAGCCTTGCAGGTTGCTCTTGTTTAGTTTATGGTACCATCCAGATTTCATCACTATGCATTTTTTGTATGTCCTTGTACAACTTCTGATGCATCACCTCCTTTGTATGTAAATCATAATCAGATGTGGTTTTACAATTCATATCATGTGGCAAAACTAACTTTTGCTCTGAGTGACTGCAATGTTTTAGTAAGAATCAGTTAAGTTCCATAACTAATAATCTGACATCCTTGAGTTGTCCTTATTCTGCAGCATCAATCAAGCTGGACAAAGAACATATTGAAGAACCACTGCTAACTTTCATGCAGCTCCAAAATTTCCATTTTCAGATATAATAGCACACTGCCCAAATCAACTCAGAAAACTTTAGTAGGCAGAACCAACGAAAAATGTCAGCATTTCTTATCAGCTTATTAATTCCATCTCAAGTGATCACTTACTAGTTTCATTCTGTAGAGCAGTTTCTTCTTTTTCAATTGTTACCAGTAAGTTTTCAGTGAGATCTGCTCTTTTGCCCACAATTGCAAAGCCATTCCAGACATACATCATTTCCTGACAAAACAAAATAAACAAGACAAACTCATGGAATTGCATAAACATTTAACTAAAGAGTATCCCTTGGAAGGATGTTATGGAACATTTTGAGTACATAAAAATACTGCCCACAAAACTTGTTTGTTTTCAAAGCCAAAATGCACTGTTGAGAAGCCCATAAATGAAAGTATCTGTATGACTTTGAATAACCACCCACGATGAGTAGGGGACATTCTGTCAGTTACATACAAGTTTACAAAGACAATTGTGTTTGCCTTAATTATCATTTAAAGCTGCATAGGGGATGCAAAATGACATTGAATGGGCAAAGTTAACCTGTATTTCTAAGTTTTGAATGTTTTGACACCTTTGTAATGGACTCTATCATGTATTTTCATAGATCTTTAAGAACAAAACTGAACAGATTTTACCACACGATTTTTACCATCACCCTTGTAACACATCAGCAAAACAGGGTATTTTAGGTTCAACTTGTAGCCTCTGCCATATGGACTAAAGAAGCACCTGAAAGTATTTACTTTCTACAGGATTATAGATAAATTTGTGTGTATATTTGTGGGTGTGTGCATGTATATACACAGTGTGTGTGTGTATATGTATATATGCATATACCCAAATACACACACACTCATGTGTGTTTATATATAGATGCTATAATCTGTAGGCTTTTACTTTCCATATGGAGTAACACTGGAAGTAGATAAAACTTTCTGGATAAAAATGTGGTTACAACGCACGCTTCCAATAGAATTCCTAAAAAAATCTTGTTTTAAAAAAAAAAAATATCAAGGCAAATCTTGGCACAAAGCTTCCCAGATGCTTCAGTACAATATTAAGCAATATGCTTGTTTTGATGCATTAAATATTATCACACTGTATCACATAAAGAGAATGAGAGAACGCACATAAAAATGCTAACCAACATGAAACTTTGCTGAGATATTTACTCAGTCATCGTAAACACAAGAGTATAATTTGTTTTACTGTATTTGAATTGTAATTACACTTTTGAAATATGAAGCCTGATGTCATTTTGAAGCTGACTGTTGAAATATTTCTGCCTATATTTCTGCTGTAACTACATGGGTTTTCAGAGGGAGAAAAAACCCGATTCTATCGAAGTCTGAAATAGCGTTATTGACAATATAAACTACATTATGCTAGATTTGTTTCAATTCTGTAATCCTGCCTAATTTACACTTACTGCAGTAACACCATACACTATGTTTATTTTTGCTTAGCCCGTAATGGAAAAATTCTTAAATTAAAAGACACTGGATTTGTCAGCAAGACTGAAGATACATGCTCCCAACTGAATAGCACTGTGCTCTACAACCATAACAGAACTTTATTACTTAGGTCTTTATATGTAATTGAGTATACAATGAATTTTAAAACTGATGGGTTAATTTTCTTTGGACTCCTGCTTCCACATCAATGAACTTCAACATAAGAAATTCCTTCTCAAATTATGTTTTTCATCTTCATTTGTTGCCAAATTATCCATGTACAAAAATTTTAGCATACACACATGCAAAGTATCATTGCTGTGCACACAAAAACAGACTGTGCACCACTAATGCCTCTGAAGTTAAAAGCATGGGAAATTAGAATAGCATTAGTAAAGTAACATTAGTTTCTGCACATTTTACTTAGATTCAATGTAAGAAAAACAAAAACAACAAAACAAGACACCACTCTTCATTTTCACCAGAAGAACAGAACGTGCTGAAGTACTCCTTAGCTTCCTAATGAGCCTGGAGGATGAGGACTGAAATCCTGCCAAACTAAAGAACATGATATGCTAGAAACCCATGCAGGTTTCTAGTTGGAAGGTGACCGTCAGCCTCATGTGGCAACATCAATCATTCTCTGTATGTCTGAACTCTCACGTGAAACATCTGGCTCTGGTTTTGGACCACTAATAATTGGTAGCATGATCCAGCCCCTAGTACATTTCACAAAAATCCCATTGCATGAATGCAGTAATTCTCTAAAAAGGTAATTTTAAAAATGCAGGTACAGACCACCTGTTAACATTATTCTTTCCCTGTATAATGAATTATACTCACTTCTTTTCTACTTGATAAAGACAAAAAGAAAGCAAGCATAAATACCAAGGCGGGTAATATCAGCTTCACTGGTTGAGCACTTGCATAGCGTCGAGCTTTCCTTACTGCAAACTTCTCAGTTGGGATAGACTTTCCTGCAATTCTCTGTTTTAGGCCATCTACTTGTCTACAAGGAGGGAAAACAGAAAACAGAAGTTGCTTTACGTAATTTCTATTTCATCTTATTTCATTTAGTAAGATTCGCTCTTTGCCTCAGGTATAACATCTCAAATTGCTTCACACCACTTGAGACCGCAGTTGTAGGATGTATGCTTGCTGATAAAAACAGCATTTTAAATATTCTGACGTTAAAAGCAAAGAGAAAAACTGAAAAGTTGATGGTTATAAGTAGGAAGTAAGTCACACAAGACAAAGCTATTCAAGTCAAAAACGTTTATATGGGGGAAAAAGGCTGCACATCTAGTTGCTTTATAAATATTTACCTGAATAAAGATACAATGTCCTCACCAGTGCTTTTCAAATCATCCTCTGGAAGCATACATAGAATTGCTGCCTTCTGGAATACATATATTGCCTGTTTCAAAAAGAAATAGCAACATATTACTATATCTAATTTGCTGGGCTCAGTCAATACACTAAGGACTCAAATCTCTCACCCCATCTGCTGCAGCAAAGTGTTTCCAGTAATTCTCTTGCAGGTAGAACTACAGAAGTTTAGCATTTCCTTTGTCACATAATTTATGCTATAATTTTATTTTCAACATATTTATTAAAATTCTAAGTAAGTTATTCAGAATGGTAAAAGTGTCTCCTGCAGAGAACAGGACAATTTATTATGCAAATCACTGATAAAGAGATGAGGTTAAATGACGTAACTATTCTAAAGTCCATTACTGTTATTACATGATCTGTTAAGTATAGAGACATGCCTTAAAAACCAGAAGAAAATATCTGAGTACTGATTCAAGTGAAGTTCAATAACTGGACTTTGCAGGGGAAAAAAAGAAACTTCCATAATTCTATTCAAGACATTTGTACTTCATGTTGAGTATACTATTCTCTTCCTCTCTTGTCAAGAATTGGATGTACCCCCTTTTCCACTAAGCATAAAAAAACCAGTAACCTAGAAAGGAACAGACAAAAATGATGTATCGAAAATTATTTGCAGAGTGTGCTTGGTTCATACTTTGAGAAATATTTTTACAAGGAAAAGGTAGATAACCCAGCTTTTCTCATGAGACCCTGTCTCCAGCAGCCTTCTCATCTCATGTCGCAAAGCATCTGCTGAGTAGGCGTGCTCTCATCTGTTTACCATTAACTAACAAACCCAGTTTCTTCAGCCAAGTTTTATTAGTGATTCTTAGTTCAAACTTGACTTTAGATGCAAGTTAACAGTTTTCTTCTCCTTCCTCTTCCTCACAACTCTGGTAAGTACCTCTGTTTTTAGAGGGGCTGAAACATTGTTAGTTATGGCTCTGGTGCTTCAGAACGTGAAATAAAAATTCTTCCTTCACCACCCAGTTAAACCTACCATTTTGGGTGCAATTGTGCCTTTGCTTATGGGTTTCAGAAGAACGCAAAAATTATTCTTATTGGGCAAACTGAAATGCGGATTTAACTGTGTGTGGAGAGGTTACTGGTATATCATAACAACATCCACCTGCCCATTTACCTTAGACCACCTGCTCTCTTTGCTGAGCAGGTCTGCATACCGATATGCTTGAAGCCAGTTCTGCTGGAAGGTGTAGCACCACATCAGCTCCCAGTAACAGAGATGATGAATCTGTTTCCACTCTTGCTGGGCTGCTATGCACTCCTGGAACCTCAACTGCGCCTACAATGTAGTAGTTAAGCAGGAACGATGAAAATTCACTCAATTACAGCTTCACATGAGAGCCATGTCTAATTACAGAGCAAATTCTTTCCTAGCACCCACGTAGAGAACACCTGACTAGTAAAATGAGATAAACTTCCCTTTCAGTTTCACTTCAGAGAGAGACATGGAATCAGTATTGACACCGAATGTGAACAGGGATAAAGAGAATAATTATCAGCCCAACTAAAATAAGTTACTTACATGAATTAGATATTTTTCCCCCCAGGCTGAACACTGAACAAATAAAAACCTTAAAAAGAAAAAAATTTATTTACCTTTTCAAAATCTCCTTTCAGTATATCTATTCTGGCAGCATAAAACAGAATAATGGAACCCTTGAAAGGAGATGAGAAAAATACCAAGTTACTACTTTAATCTTAGGGAAGTACATTGCTGCTATAAAATTTATTGAGAATACACACATTTGGAAATTTCCGGAGGTAGGGTTCGAGGAGACTGTCTGCTTCCTGAATATTGGCTTCCCCTGTACCTAGAAAACATAATAAACCAACCTCAATGTACTTAAAAAAAGAAGTTTCATAGATTAAGATTTTGGTTTCCAAATCATAGGACGGCTTGAATAGATTAATAGGTGACTGCTTTTATGCAAGAGCAGAATTATTTCATCATATTGTGTTTCTACAAAAATGAATGGCTGTCCTGAAGGTAGTAAATTCTTTTAAGATAGTAAATATCTGTAAGTAGAAACAGAATAGAATACATGAATGTTCTTTAAACTGCTCCATTATAGATCCTAGTTATATTTTTAAATCCCTTTAGTTGCTTTAGCAAGTTAGGAAAACATTCCTCAGCTGCCTCCTTTCCTAATTTTGAGCTCAGTAATGAAGTACAGGTGATACTGAAAGAAATGAAGTTCTCCTTAATTTCCTGATGAGCCTGAGGGACATAGACTAAAATACTTCCAAACTAAAGAATGTGAAAACATATGTCAAAGATGCATACAGAATTAATGGTAACTTTTAGCCCGATGTGGCAAAAGCAATTAATTCTCTACACGTCTGAACTTCCAAGTAAATTGTTTGGGAGTACAGACTTCTTTCTGGAGATAGTTTTCACAATATCTGATGTTAATTTAAGGATAAGGACTTGCTGAACTCAAAAGTATTTTGTGATATTTTGCTGTTGCATGTTGAGACAGCCCTGCAAATGGAACAAGACGTTGGTATAATAGTATCTATCCTCACTGTTTCTGCAGACACAGCTTTGTCAGTCAGAGATATTAGTTTCAGGTCATAATTAAGTATATAGCAATCTCCTGTTACAAAGCTAATTGGCCACAGTTTTGAAATTCAGTTCATAAAAAAATTCACAGTTATCTATCATAACGTGTAGCATGACTGAACAGCTACACAGTGGGTCTCACCAAGGATTAAGGAGACGTAAGTATGATAAACCAACAGGGTGAAAGTACACAGAATGGCCCTCAAACTGCTGCCAGACGCGCCTTCCCGTAGTTGACAGAGGCCCAACTCCTAAGAAACATCACAAACACATGCAGAATTAACTATCAGTATACAGAGTTACTATTAATAGTTCCTGGCTCCCCCAAATCCAGTTTTCCTTTCAGATATAAGTAATTCATCACTTTGTTAACTCTGATCCAGCACAACCTTCTACCAAAACAGTTCTGCCACAGCTGATAGCACTCAGCAAGTAGATTAAGCTACTGCTAAAGAAAATTACCCATGCCTTTCAGCGCTCTGGTGAAATGGGAACACCATACAGACACACAGGTCTATATCCCTTCCCCACTATTTTCTGGCTATGAGCCTTTCACAGTAATGTCTTTAAATCTATGTTTGGTGAGAAGCTCTCTCAACTGTTCCAGTGCTACCTGTTGACAAGAGTCTTCCTTCAGAGAAGTCCCTGGTTATCCTCAATTCTCTTTCATCAAATCAGCCACTATTTTGAGGTTCTGATTAAAATATTAGCTCTGCTAACATGCCAACTTCCAGACACTGTTTCCAAAAGCTACAATGGAATTTGTGAGCACTGAGAAAAGGAATCCAGATTCATGGAGACTTACTCAGCACTTAATACATGAAACGTTTATGCCCATTACATGACAACTTTTTGTTGAGACAAACTCAGAGCTTCCCTGCTCAAGAGCAGTGGCTCTTCAGAAACACAGCAGATTTTAACAGTTTTGCCTCAAAACAAGTATTAACTGGAGTTTCATTGCATAGCAACTTGATGAACTACAGGAGAATTCAAGCACCATACAAAAAAATGTGCTGATACTCAAAAATTGTTTGTTCTTTTCCTTTCAGCTTTTATTGCCTTTTCAGTCAGGGCTAAAATCTGTATTATGGAAGAGCTTCAGCATGAGCCAGGTCTTTCACAGGAAGAAACAGAATGAACAAGTCTCTACTGAAGTCTAATTTTACAAAAGCAGAAAGATATTTGTGGACCAACTAACAGCATTAAGACCATATGGTAAATCTTTGTCTCACTAATAACTTGAAGTTTAGTTATGTATAATTCTGTGGGTTGCTTAGTTTGGTTTGGGTTTTTTTTTTTTATTTCTTATGGGTGCCAAGAAGAGTTTTAAAGGGCTGTAGGATACTTACAAAACAAGGCTAGCTTTACAAAACCAAGGCTATGATTACAAATACTTTCCTCATCCATGAGAAAAAGATGTACAGAGATTCCACAGTGCTACATGATATTCAGAAATTCCTTCTCCCAAAGAAATGGGCTGGGATTGTGGGTGGAAAAACATAGAATTGTGACTCTCGCCTCAGCTACTGAGGGGATTAAATAACTAATTAATGAGGAACATTAATTTCTGACTGTAATGGCCAGAAAAGAAAGCAGATATCCTCTCCTGAAGGATCAGCAAAAAGAAAGGAAATTGCAATTTGAAAAACCCCTCTGAAGCAGACTGGTCATTTCCCATGGTTGTTCAAGATCAGGATATCACCATATATGCTTTTATGACTGCATCACCTAGCTCACTTCTCGTCTTTTTAACACTACTAAAATACTGGCAAACATTACACTTTCAGTGTGAAATATATGACATTAAATCTATCCAGTCTTTATCTGAGAGAAGACTAATTTGAAAAAAAAAGTATCAGATCCAATACCCTATTGCCAGAAAATCCAATAAATTCTAAAAGTCGGAGGATCCTTCCTGGTAAAAGTGACAGCATCTGAAATACATTTCAAACAAAAATAAGATAAATAAAAACTTGTATACATTTTAAAAAAAAAAAGCAAAACCACTAGAAACTTGAGTCAAAAATGCTAGCTACGACATTAAATGCCATTACACATCAGTGAAAAAGTAAAACACAAAAGAACTTGAAAATATACATGCATTATCAACAATATACAATCAGTCTGCAGCTTCAGGGAAACTCAGACTTTTGATGATCATCCAGCATGGAAACAGCAAGTGCTTCTTCAGATAATGACAGATTTTTCTGTCTTCAGCTGAGCAAAATTGTTTGAAAATTGTGGGTCACTTGGCATGAAAGTACTATCTATTTTGATAGTACTCAATCTACAACTGTCATCTTGCTTTACTCCCAGTCAAGTGACACAACGGTATCACGAAAGTTCTACCTGTTCCTACTGTGGGAGCACTGAATTAGAAGATCAGCAAGCATACTTATTTCAGAAATACTAGCTATTGTTCTCATCCTCCACCCTTCTCTTACATGCGCTTTTTGTTCCCCTTGTAACTGCAATCTCCAGATCCTACACAACAGAAAACTTACAAAGATCACAATCACCTTCTCAAAGAGCATTACAAGAAGGTCTATTTGAAGGTCAGTTTTTGAAAGCTGCATTCACCCTAATACATCTTGCCCAGCAAAGACTACTTCTGTTAAGCTTAGTACCGAGGAGACTTAATGAAGAATAGGGAAGGTCAGAGCACTTATAGACACAGACATCTACCAGCTGCTTGGATTTTAAAGACTGACAGGTGCAGACAGACCTGAGCTCCTCTGACCATACTCAGAACTGGCCAGTTCCAGTCTGGAATGATACAGGAATTAACATACCAGCAGAAATCAACTCTCACCGTTGCCACGTCAGACATGAAAAGGCAACGTAAATTGTAAAGAAAAACACTAGTGGATGTACCCAGTTTTCATTTGCACAAACTCAGTAAACTACTGTTCAGCCTTCTGAATTTGTAATTACCTATGCCAATCTATAGTATGTCACTGAAGCAAAAGAATGGTATACATGGGGGTGTTAGAATAAAAGCAGTGACTCCATGTATCCTGTAACCAACAGCATAAGCATCTTAAAAATTGCAGCTACACACAGGTAAACGTAGCTTTTCCTCTTAAGAAATACATACATAAATTAGTCCAAGAGAATTAAACACAATTCAGAATAAATTAGTAAAAAGATCCTAGGACGCCCATATGGAAAAAGCCACTACTACTGTTTACATATTGCATAAAATCTTCAAAGCCTGTATCTCCATTTTACAAATGTGTAATTTTTAAAACAGTATTACAGTACTGTATCTGCAAAGAAAGAATCCTACAGAATTATCCCAACGGCCTTTCTGTAGTCTGAAAAAACCATACCAAGTTGAATGCTCCGATTCCAAGTTTTACTCCTCCTTCAAACTGGTAGTAAGTTTCATTTTTGCTTTTGTTCCCCTGAGTCATCTGTAGCACCTGATGACATTCTCTTTTGATACAGGAAGAAAAAGGAGGGAAGGTGAAACATGACTTAGAAATTATATGAAGTATAATCATTATGATTTCTATGCAAATATTTCTTTTTATTTTGGAGGCATTAATGCAACTGCACCTGCTTACACCAATGTTGAATCTAAGCATTTTCTAATGGCTTACTTGTATATTTGGTAACTCGTCCTAATTTTGAGGCCACCTTTGATAAAGTTGATCATATTTTCATCCTGTAAAAAAAGAATTTAACTGTACAAAAATGTGCATTCAGCTATTACATATTACATGTACCTAAAAATCTTCCAGCTACCTTTAAATTTATTTATAACTTAATGGTAACTGGAAATATAAAACATGTTTTTCAGTTATTAGACTCATCTCCAAGACTAAAATTAATGCTTGTTTTAATTTGTCAGGGAAACATTTCTCTGGTGCATGTTACAAATTTCAAACTTAAGAGAGGGGTGAGAAGAAAGTCAGAGAGTTACTTTTAATAGAATTTCCAATGCATATAAATGAAACAAGAAAGCCCTCCACCAGATGGTGCCATAGGAACTTTCTAGGAAGTTTTGAGATACCGATTCTGATGCACACAAGCGAGCCCAGGAGCTGGCAGAAGACAAACCAAAGAATTCCCTGAACAGATGAATTCCCATGCTGATCAACAGGAACCGCTGGTACTACCCAATGTATGTGCTTATTAACCTCTAGAAAAATCATGTAAAAAGTAAAGCCACAATGTACTAGACATCAAAAATAATTTTCTGAAAAGCAAGACAGTTAACAGTTCAACAGGACAGATTTTTTTCTCTTGCAATTCACAAAGAAGGGCAATGTGCAGGCATTTCAGAAATGCACATTTAAATACTTGGGGACAGCATATATGATGTGGAAAATGAAAAAGCACAAAAAAAGCCTCAGAATCATCAACCAAAGGAAATTCTGGATTCCATAAAAGGTCACCTTTTCAAAAGACCTCAACTGTTTTGTCTGCAAGACTGAACACCCAAATGCAAGTGTTTTAGTACAAGCATTCTTGCTACCTCTTTCTGAATGGTTACATTTTCATTATCATCATCATCCTCAGATGAATCAAGGTCAGCCAAGGATGAAAAATATGGGGTGTGACAGCAATCAGCAAAGCAGTGTATTGTAGCTAACAGCAATGGATCGCCAACATGATAGGTAGCGAGGTGCTGCTTTAAAGAAAGTATAACTCTAAGGGTTTTTTTTTCCACTTTATACAGTCCTAAACTCACCTCCTTCAACAACTGTTTAAAAAAAACTCTTCATGCTTAAAAAAAACCAAAAACCAAAAAACAACAAACAAACCAACACCACCCACAAAACAAAAAAAAGGTTGTTTTCATTTGCTTAGTAAAGGAGAAAGTCAGTATAGGGAAGATTGACATTCCATTACTATTTCCTGACACTTCTGGCCAAACCACTGTATTAAATGGTTTATAAAGCTTTGCCAAATTAACTTTTTAGGTCCATCTGATCTTAGTATCTTTGTGCCTTGCTGCTTCTTCATAATTTGTATCTGAAGGGATTGTCTAACATATGTTCATTAAACATCTGTAAAACATTGACATATGTAAAAGAAATACGACTAACAATTCCTGTTTTCAGCAATCAAATTTCAAATAGAATTTGAAAACACTGTAGGATGAAGTTCCTGAACCACAAGCTAAACAAAGAAGCACCGGACAGTATCAAACAGCAGATCTTTCTGTGAACTGAATGATTACCTCAGCAATGCTAAGGCATGCTCATTTTATAATCATTCATTACTCTATTGTTGCTGACACCATGTCAAAAGTGCATGGAAAGTAATGATGAAATGGAGACAAGTGTGCATCAGTTGAAGTTTTGTTAGTTGGGAAACATGCTATCCTTTTTGTGCAAAAAACCCCTTGCATTTTCACACAAGACATTTACTCATACTTGAACATCTTTTTAAACAAGGGCCGGACACTGTCAGATGCAATGCGATTCATTTAAATGCACCATCTGTGTAAGACTGCAATATACCTTAGGTTTTTGTTTCCTGGGTATCAGTAACAACTTTGGTTATTCATATAAACAAAGAGAAGATTTTGTTGGGCAGCACAGCAATTACTGTACTTTCAATCACATTCGTTCACCAGGAAGAAGTTTTGGTTTTAATACCGTATCTACTGTGTGAACAGTACAAGTACTAACATCCTTCCACTAAACTGCTATGCAGAGATGCAAAATAAACAATTTACTTTACCTGTACAAAGGTGAGAGCTGCTTTCTGTAGTAAGCATTCAGCATAGCAGATTTCAGCATGCATTTCCTCTATACAAAAAAGAAAAGTTATTTACTGTCAGAAAATCTATTGTCAATATTCTCTTCTTGGGGTCAACGAAACAAACAAAATGCTACCAAGAAAAGACAAAAAGGCAAGATTCTGCTGTTGCTGTTTTGATAACTTCTGAATAATAGCTCTAACACACAAATCCCAATAGAAGTCTTCTATTTCACTTCTTCTCAGACAAAACCTTTGATCTTGCCAGAGCTGACTTCAGCCTAGGGCAAAAGCTATTTGTCACTCTGGTGAATGATCTCCTGTACTTTCCATTGATCCTCAATTTAAATATCAGCCTACAGCAATTAGGTCTTCCAACCCTCCTTCCACGTCTTCAAAAAAAAAAATCTTTTACAGATGAACAGTAACACTCACTGTGGCTTAGGCTTTTCCTAATTTCCAGTAAGACATTATGAACAGGTTTTCACCAAGTCATGCTCAACAAACCAAAAGCCCCGGGCAGACTTGCTGTCCTCATGCAGCACTACAGTACATTTGACTTAACACACATGACATGATTTACTCTGCACCCATGCTGCAAGACCAGCCACATGCACAAGGCTGCCTGGTGTACAGTGCACATGTGGCGAGTTCAATGTGTCCAGTATTAAAGAGGATTCTCTTGTGTCAGGTTAAAAAAAAAAAAGCATACTTGATTCTGCCAGAATCAGAAATAGGAGATCAGCATTCTCAGAGCCATGAACAATGTACTGATACCATTTCCCAAAACACCTTAAAGCAAAACAGACAAGCACAAAACTTGTTAATATATTCAGATGCCACTGCAACTAATGATAAGGACATATTCTACAGCATCAATGATTCTTAAACTTTTCGGAGCTGACTTAAGTAAAAAAAACAAAGCCAAAAAACCAACCAACCAAAAAAAAAAAAAACCAAAAAAACAACCCACACACCAAAACAACACCCAGAAAAGGAAATATCTCTTCAGTCCTACAATGTGTTGTGAAAGGCATTCCCTTCTTAATTTATGCATGCTCAGAGCCAAAAAAAATTAGGCTGGACCCCCTATTTTGAGAAGCTTTGCATTCAAATGCAGAAACACACCATCAAAAAAGCACCACCATCACCACCAAACTATTTGTTTGTTTTTTACTGTAAGACACTTGTACACATTGGTAGGGTGTTTTTGAGCTTTTTTCACTTCGTTATTTTAATTGTACTATAAACCACTTACCTTCACTCAATTGCTCTGCTGACTGTTTAGAAACTAGGTTGGACAAGGATTCCACCACTGTGCTTCTTTTCCTGAATCTATACCAGTTGGATGTGGAAGAAAAGCAATCCACAAAGCATAAGCAACATTTCAACACAAACTTGATATAAATTATTTATAATTCTTAACCATTTTCTACCACAATTTATAGACTTTTGTAGTAAAGTGATGATTTGTTAATAGCTGCAATTCTTTGAGTAGTCTAATCATGGCCACTGGTATGCATCTAGGCTCAGAAGCCTATCCAAACTTGATTGATGTTCCAAGCATGCATTTAACCTCCCTTAAGCGTACAATAGCTTCCACCCCACTTCCACCCACCAGCTACAGAGGTCTCTCTGACACTGGGCAAGCCACTTCAACTGGATTTCGAAGTTTTACTAATTACATTTTTCCATTTCTTAAACTTGCACTCTGAATTAGAATGAAAAATCAAAAGAAGCTGTTTTCAACATAAATGAAAGCGTAAGTACTTCAGTACTTTATGGTGCTTTATGCAGATATGACACCAAAACAGTCACATATTTTACTTTCAACAGATCTCAACTGTCCATGTTACAAATTGCTAGTTTATTTTAGTATGGCATTCCAAAAATTAATTACTATTTAGAAACAACTCAACTTTATGAAGAAGCTAAAGAAACAATTCTACACTCAGAAAATAGATGTACTTTGTAAGCCAGGAAGTCAATTATTATAAATACTGAGCATTAGCTTATCGTTTGTTTACACTATTCTGTACATTGAAAAGCACAGGAACCCGACAACAAGATGATGACACTACAGGTTAACATACTGCATGCAAAAAAATGGTCAATTATGGCACATGTAGTTCTGGCAATTCTTCACCTTTGAGCGTCTGGTTGCCTTTATCTTGCATTTTTATGAGTTTTGTAATAGACTACACCAGAGTACTTATGCATGAAAGTATCCTGCAGAGATGGAGGCCCTTACTGAAACTACCTGAAGTACAGAGCAGCACCTAATTTTCAGACATACTAAACAACATAGTTCAGATGAAACTGTGAATCAATAGCACACCTGAAAAAGAGGCAGAAACTGGTGGCCCTTTATTTTCTTCAGGTAGTATCCGACAATTTTGTCCTGTTTCCTTTTCTTTTTTTTGTCATTACTAAGGAGGACACTTAAATGTCTAAACTAAACAACATTCAGAAGTAATTTCTTTGAAGACCATTCATGATAAATTATGGCCTAACCAATATGATGAACCACCAGAACAGGAGAATAAAACACTCATTTCTGCTTTTGTCAGAGGCTTGTTAAGCCCTTTGGCTTTGACAACCTGTTTTCTAAGTTTTTTTAATTAAAAAAATACAGGTCACTGTTTTCTACTCTGTTTCATTATTGTTCCAAGGAGGGTCAGAAGCAAAATATTCAGATCATTCTTGATGGGAATAATAGCCCTTTAATTTTAAGGTAAGCTAAACACATTTATAACAATAATTTAAAAATTGCTTTGGTTTTAGAAGAAACCTCAGTACAAGCTTAATCCTATTAGTCTCTTGGGTTCACCTTTAAAAGAAGAGTATTTTCATGATAAAGGGGAAAATTCAAAGTATATCGCTTTTAAATTGTTGATCACCATGGGAAACAAAAAGTCACAGGTTGAAATAGTTCAATCATTTAGTGTCAGCTTACACATAGGTCTATGAGGCCAACCAACCATTTACTTAACTTTAAGAGGCTATACTTGTGCAGACCCAACAAGTCTGTTGTTTCCACAATACTGGGAAATGTATCCTAACTAATAATAACCGGATAGTGAGACTTCACCTTTCCAAATTTAGATCACTATTATACTGACAATAGCCTGCTTTGAAAGCATACAGAGAGACGGGATATCTTACAAAGAACACTCAGTAGATTAAGTACCTCATAAATGTTCATTGCTTGGGCTTACCTTTGGCAGGTTTGCAAAGCTTCCTTCATTGTAGAAATTCCCATTTGTATATCCTGCTGTTCAAAGGTCATAGCAGCTTGCATAACTAAGATAGTGCTGTACCCAAGGGCATGGTACATACTATCTTTAGACCTAGGGCAAACATATAAATCTTGTGCATTTAAGCAAAACTTTAAATTACAATACAAAATTAAATACTGAGACACTTGCATTAATTTGTGAAGAGACAGAAGAATAAAGCAGGGAAGTAACAGACATCAGAACATAACCTAGCAAGTTATCATCTTCCCCTGGGTGCTACATGTCTGCCTCCACAGGATACTGTCACAGCAAGTTCTAGAAAATATCCAAACTGGGTTACACAAACATTTGCGCTTAATTATATCCCATTTATAGTCCGCTGATATATCTACTTAATTTAGCTAATTAAGCCTTGACATAAATACACGTTCGTCTGCTTTCACGTAACGTTAAGTAGTAAGGACATCCTTCTAATATTACCACTTGATCTAAAGACACAAAAATTTGCATTTGTGTCACAGAAAAGTCAGTACACACATGCTCAGTCCTGCATAAAAGGCTACACTGAACCAGCCTGGCTTTCACAACATAATAAAGGTTGTTGGAAAGTGGCTATGGGAGGTCATATACCCCGACCTACCAGTCGCAGCAGCGCTATTGCCAACGTTAATGTCAGGCAAACTCAGGTTTTATCACACCAGGTTTCAAGATGTGCAAGAAAATGAAGACTGCACAGCCCTCTGGCAGCCTCTCTGGTTGTGCACTATCAATGTACTTTTTCCTAATGTCCAGTTTGATCCTCCTAAGCCTCAACTTGAGGTAACTGCCTCTTGTTTCACCATCTGCCACTACAGAAAAGAACGTCCCCTGTCTTTGCAACTTCCCCTCAACAGCTCCAGACCACTATTAAATTAATGCCCAAGTCTCCTTTTGCCAAGCTGAAACAAACCCAGCTCTCATAATCCTAATGAGTCATACGTTCTAGTCTTCTAGTCATGCTGCTAGCCCTCTGTTGGGTCCTCTCCAGTTTCCTCAACTTTTTTTCTTCCCCCTAAACCAAGGAGACACCCACCAAATGTATTTTTGACAACACGAAACTTTGGCAGAGTCAAGGAAGATAGACCCTTAGGCCAAGTGTTTATTTCTTAAATCCATCAACACTTTCCCTAGAATTTTTACATCAAGTTTAGCTTTCATTAAAAGGCTATTTTTTAGTAAAACATTTGGGCTTTTTCTTCTTTGAAGGTGGCTTTTTGTTTCCTTGCTAGACTAGGTCCTCCTTTGCAGATTCCCTGAACATGCTATATAATAAGCTCAAAGTCTAATAGCTGCCAGGGACTCAAAGCATTCTAAATTCCACGCGTTTTGTATTTTTTCCTTTGTAGCAAATGTCAACTAAAACAAATACTTCACTGTCCATAAAAACACTGTTTTATGAAACAAGGGGTTTTTGTTTTACAACACAAATGAAACATACAAAAAAACATTTGGGTAATACATGTATGTGTGTGTTTGTGTGTATTTAGTAACACACACATGCACAAACCCTACAGGAGAACTTAGTATTTTGCAATACTACCCAAAAATAGTTCTAGCGTACACAGTGGCAGGTGGGCCTCCTCAAAGCATTGCTCTATTATGGATAACACTGCAATGCTGAGAGAAGAGACCTGGGTATAAGTCTAGCTAATTTTAAGAGGTGTTATTCCTGCCTACCTCCTCAACACTTGAGCTCTCCATACCACTAAAAGCAAACACTTGATAGCTGTGTCATCTCCCAAGGTTTCATTTAACAGTGTTCTTCCACCTGTCCATACTACTGACCTAAAAACACCAACCCATCATTCTTAATCCAGTCTTACTATCACCAAACTGCTGAGCGAGAACCTTACCTTGCTCTACTAACCCAAGCTACAGATCCCTCCCACTGACACATCCCTCAACACCATACACACCTTAGAGACAGACAGGAGAAGAACAGTGAATGGGATTCAGACCCCAGTCCTGAAGAACGGCCACGCAGATTGCCACTCCACACAGTCACAAGTAAACTTCAGCACTGCAATGCTTTTCTTCTCAGTGGAGCAAAGGCAACAGGGAAACTGGCAGAATTAGCCAGAAAATCAAAAGGTGGGCTTTAAGGGTGAACACTACTGTCACTCAAATGTAATATAAAAAGCAACAAAAAGAGTATTCTGGAGACTTGTTCCAGCTTTGCTGTCCTGTCAAGGGCAGTTCCACTGTACAAATTCTGTGATCAAAGATACATTGGATAAGGTCTTGCTCCCCTGCTTTTCCCCCCTGCACGAGGAAAGATAGCTTGAGTGATGAACTCTATCAGAACAATTCAGTGCTTCATTCACAGGTTTTGCAGTGGTCTTAAGGAGAAACAAGTGCACTGCTAAAACCCAAAGATACTGAGAAATTACAAAAGGGAATAAATGAAAACTACTACCTTCAGAGGCCTTAAATCAATATTCAGCTACCAGATAGAAAACTTTACGCTAGCTTACAGTAACTTCAGCAATTAACAGGGTCTTACCATGGACGAAGTAGTTCCAGGGCTTCAGAGAACTTATTGTTTAGGAATAAGTTTAGTGCCATTGAACATTCTTCCAGAGCACACTTGAGATCCATCTTGGATGCCCTAAAAAAAGATTCTTAGTTTATTCAAACTGTAAATATAAACACAAAATTAATTTTTTTCTTATATAACACAGAGAGTCTTTCATAGCCATTTTAATACTCACTTTTAGAGTATTTATGAAAAAAAGTCATAGGCTTAACAGTTTATCCATGGTACAGAAGTGTGCCCGCTTTGCTTATTTAAGTGATGTTTATGGCTTTGTCCTCCTTTTTTTACCAGTCAGTATGCAATGGAGTAATTTTCACTACTACTCATATAACACACTCAAAACTTATCACTGTGTCCAAGCTCTCAATTTTCCATATCATTACAAAAGCAGTTTCAGACTCTGTATTGAGATCTAAATGTCAAGAAAGATGACAAAATATTATTTTCATTCAAGAAAGCAGTAAACAGACACTCACTCTGTAAACAACTGTGCCAAAAATAGTCCTGTCAGAAGCCTGCAGCTATGCCAAAAGCTTTTGTTCTACCTAATTCCCTTCAAGTAAAATCACTTGCACTTGCTTAAGAGGAAGGCATCTAACAAAACCGATGCCTTGGCCAGTTTTGTCTGAAGGACTCGGGAGCGCTCATGAGTTGCTCCACGGGCAGAGCTGGTGACAAATTGGACACTCATGGTAGTGATGGACAGCTAGAAGCTACACAGCCTTTGATGTGCACAGCTGGACCTGGAAAAGATAATCTGTCTACAGCTTTAAAACAACTGGTTTAGGCTCTATAATGGGCTTTATCCAAGTAAGGTTAAGCAACAGATCATGTCAATGAGATGAATATTTAAGTGCTGACCAGAAGGGAAAAACTCTGAAAGACGAATTTAAGAAGAGAAACAACAGAGAGGAGTGCAGCTTCCCTAAACCTGACAGTAACACACACACAAAAAACAAACCAAGAAAAAAAGGGGACATGAAAGTATGACTGGGCAGGTTTTTACACAGATTCATCAACTCTCCCTATCCTCCTCCTCTCTCCATCACCCAAAAGCTTTAAAAACATTGCTCTGGTTTTTGTATCCCTTATGGAGCAGAAAACTGGGATAAGGCCAGATGGCATCCCCAAACTCTTTCTTCAGCTTTGTTTTCTGTCACTTTTTAGGGGCAGTATTCGAAAATTCCACCTTCTGTGGAGAAAAAAAAAAAATCTCTAACTCAATACTTGTCAGCTATTTTTTATTGAACACACCAAGAGGCAAATTCTGCCCTTCATAATGAAGTAGTGAATTGCCCAACAGTTGAAATTCAGCAGTGCAAAATCTGGAGAGCAAATCTACTACATTTGTGCTCTCTTCATTGCTGGCCTGTGTCACCAACGCCACACTGTCCCGTTGCTACTATCAGTTCATGTTCTCTCCCTTGAATACCCTTAAGCTAGATATCTAAATTGCCTTCCAATTGTCTGAAAAGTATTTCAGGGAAGTTACTGTACAGCAAGTTTACTTAGGTTTATGTATAAATACACAAGCCCCAATAACAAATATAAGTCCTTCAGATAAGCAATAGCAGTATCTTTTCTCCTGCTCCAGGGAGACAAAAAAAAAAAAAAGGTCAGTATTTTGTTGCTTATATACCATTCTTCATACCCTAGACTGCACTGCAAAATACAGAACACAAAGGTTCAATTTATAATTCAGACTACACCAGCTAATCTTACTTAACCTCTTATCTAGACATTAGTTTTTTTACAAAAAAACATTAGTTCCATTATTTATAGGAATATATTATCATCTTTTATCTTTATTCAGAAAGTGTTACATTATGTATTTAAATGTAAGTGCCCTGGTTTTACTATAAACCTTAGCTCTGAGACTACTTTAACTGAAGTGTTACAATAGACCTGTAAACAAAGTGGTGGCTTTGTTTTGGTTTTTTTTTTCCATTTTCAAAGTCCTAAATCTTTTGGTATATAAGCCTGCGTGATTCGTCTTTGCAAGACAGTTAGGAATCAAGGCTACTCAATGACAGATGTATATCTGAGTAAATCCATAGGTTTATTTTTCAAATTTCCCCTGCTATACATACTATGTCAAGTTTCTACAACACACCTCTCAATGAAAAATTGAGACGGGGGGGGAAAAGAAAAAAAAAAGAAAAAAAAAAAAAGAGTAGTAGCATTATTCCAAGACAGTTACAAAATGAGAAACCATTTTCAATATGAATTCAACAGAATCATGCACAATTTTTTGTTTCCCCTTTTAACACAGTTTGCTTAATCTCTTTGATTTTTTACTTCCTCTTCTGTCTCTCAAGTGCCCCAATTAATTCTTTCCATTTGGCTCCTGCTTGATGAGGGGAAAAGGAAAGTGGTATATCAAGCATATGGATTTTTATCAGAAAGCAGCAATTTGGTGTAGATCACATAGGGTTTAAGAACTTCCTTCTTCACCTTTCACTGGACACAACTTTTTACCTTTATGATGCTACTTGCATTGAAATTAACAGGGAACTTTGCAGTTCTCAGATCTAACCTGAACAATCTTTGAAAAACATCAGATATGAGACTGTAAATGCAAATCATCTTGTTCACATCTTGCATGGATTTACAGGCCAAAATGCAAACTGCCTTACAGTTCTAACACAGAGACACTTTCCACTATTCCTTCCTGAAAAATTAACCTATAGACCAAGAAAGCCATGTAGGAGACACATAGTTTATCGCCTCACATTGCAAACCCATACCCTCTATACTTTAGTTTAGGGGAAAAAAAACCCAACCTATCAAGGCCAACTGCAACTCATTTTGCATTTTACACATCCTAGCTTCTGTGACCCTTGTGTTAGGTCACAACAAAGCCGTGCAACACTACAGGCTTGGGGAAGAGTGGCTGGAAAACTGCATGGCGGAAAAAGACTGCTGGTTGACAGCCGGCTGAATATGAGCCAGCAGTGTGCCCAGGTGGCCGAAAAGGCCATGGGCATCCTGGCTTGTATCAGGAATAGTGTGGCCAGCAGGAGCAGGGAAGTGATCGTGCCCCTGTACTCGGTGCTGGTGAGGCCACACCTCAAATACTGTGTTCAGTTTTGGGCCCCGCACTACAAGAAAGACGTTGCCTTGCTGCAACATGTCCAGAGGAGAGCAACCAAGCTGGTGAGGGGTCTGGAGCACAAGTCTTATGAGGAGCGACAGAGGGAACTGGGGTTGTTCAGCCTGGAGAAGAGGAGGCTGAGGGGAGACCTTATCACCCTCTACAACTGCCTGAAAGAAGGCTGTAGCGAGGTTGGGGTTGGCCTCTTCTCCCTGGTAATGGGCGATAGCACAAGGGGAGATGGCTTCAAGTTGTGCCAGGGAAGGTTTAGGTTGTACACGAGGAAAAACTTCTTCACAGAAAGGTCTGTCAGGCTCTGGAATGGGCTGCCCAGGGAGGTGGTCAAGTCCCCATCCCTGAAGGTATTTAAAAGATGGGCAGACGAGGTGCTTAGGGACATGGTTTAGTGGTGGAATGGCGGTGTTGGTTAACAGTTGGACGTGATAATCTTAAAGGTCTTTTCCAACCTAAAAGATTCTATGGTTCTATGATTCTAAATCCAGAAAACAAAATAACCTGGATCAGCATTTAGTTTGGATACCTGCCAAAGCCTCAGCCTGTAACATCTCTTCATGCTCCCAAAGTAAAGCTCTTTCCAGAAACTGGGACAAGAGAACCAGACTCTAGATTATGAAGCATCCCGCCCATTTGGCAAAAGAATGGATTTAGCACTTCACACTAAATCTGGTCAACTGGTTAAAAGGTTTCCCATTAACAACTATAATCAGAAATAAGTATGCTTAAGAACCTATACTTCCAATTCAGTAAAGCAGAATTAAAATGTTTATCAAAACAAATATGAAGAAAGCAATTGTATTTTAGTGCATTCAGACTCTGAATATGTAAACAGATCTGTCCAAATTAAAATATTTATACAAGTAGTAGAGAAATTAACAAATTTACATGTCCTCTTCTGATGTCTTAAATAGTATGCCCTCCAAAGAACAGTGTTGACATTAAAAAAAAAAAACCAAACCATTTATAATGACTGAAAGTTTTGTAATACACTCAATTTTATTAGCTGATTCCATGAATACCATCTGCTAACAAATACTTTCCAAAGAACTAATTTTTAGCTAGATGTAGAAGCTGGGGTTTTTTTGGTACACAAGCAAGGATCTGAATTAACCCCTCAATAACATGCCATTACCACCACTGTTTGTTCCCATGCTTCTATATACTCATTTCAAATTTGCTTTTTAGGAAGCTATCTTTCACTCAGTGATCCATGCCTGGTTGGATTACACATTCCATCTGCTCTGCCTTTCCCGCTAGGAAAAATGGCTACATCTTTCAAACAGTTTCTCAAGAAGGGAAGAAAAAAAAAGGGGGGGGAGGGGAGGGGAGGATGGCGGCGGATTTTCTTTTTTAAATACCAAATTTGTAGTGATTGTCTTAAAAAAATGCAGTAATCAAAGTTGAGATCTACTAGATAGTAAGAATGAGTTTTTACTCTCATACTTGTGCACCACAACTATTTTGTGACTAGCACTGAAGCAGTGCCCTGTTCCACGTGTCTTCCAACACAAATCCCCACACCTGTATTAAGTGTGGGGGGGAGGCGAGGGGAAACCAACACCCCAAACCAAAAAAAACCTTCAAAATTGCGGATGACAGATAGCCCTTCTGGTCCCCCTGTCCGTCCCCACCCCAGCACGTTTGCTAACTTTGCAGTGGGCCAAGAACTCCATGAACTACTGGAACAGAAAAACCCAACATGAGGCAATGAGCTGCTACACAGGGTACAGAGGGACCATGAACTATGAGAGGGAAGAGAACTGCAAGTGAGATGTGTATAATCACACAGTTCATAAAAGAATCTGAGGGAAGGTGGATCGTTCATAACAGCAGGTAATTTAACAACTGATCGCTACTTTATTCACTTAGTTGTAAAATGTTTGGGTTCAACCTAGAAAGAGTAAGAAAGTTTCCTACCACTTCATGTGAAAATTAACATCAAATAAATAGGTCAAAGTGT